GTTTGCTAGAGAGCATTTAGATGATCCAGAAGAGGATTGGGAGAATGTCATATGGTCAGATGAAACCAAAATGGTAAAAACTCAACTAGACGTGTTTGGAGGAGAAAGAATGCTGAGTTGCATCCAAAGAACACCATACCTACTGTGAAACATGGGGGTGGAAACATCATGCTTTGGGGCTGTTTTTCTGCAAAGGGACCGGACGACTGATCCGTGTAAAGGAAAGAATGAATGGGGCCATGTATCGTGAGATTTTGAGTGACAACCTCCTTCCATCAGCAAGGGCATTGAAGATTAAACGTGGCTGGGTCTTTAAGCATGAAAATGATCCCAAACACACCGCCCGGGCAACAAAGGAGTGGCTTCGTAAGAATCATTTCAAGGTCCTGGAGTGGCCTAGCCAGTCTCCAGATCTCAACCCCATAGAAAATCTTTGGAGGGAGTTGAAAGTCCGTGTTGCCCAGCGACAGCCCCAAAACATCACTGCTCTAGAGGAGATCTGCATGGAGGAATGGGCCAAAATACCAGCAACAGTGTGTGAAAACCTTGTGAAGACTTGAAGAAACCGTTTGACCTCTGTCATTGCCAACAAAGGGTATATAATTAAGTATTGAGATGAACTTTTGTTATTGACCAAATACTTATTTTCCACCATAATTTGCAAATAAATTCTTTAAAAATCAGACAATGTGATTTTCTGGATTTCCTTTTCTCATTTTGTCTCTCATAGTTGAGGTATACCTAGGATGAAAATTACAGGCCTCTCTCATCTTTTTAAGTGGGAGAACTTGCACAATTGGTGGCTGACTAAATACTTTTTTGCCCCACTGTAAATACTATTGGGTATGTTTTTTTTCAACAGGTTAACACAAAACTCCTGCTTTAGAAATAAATAAAACAATATTAAACAACCGACACAATTAACCTTTACAATACTCACAGTGTGCCATCTGTTGGGTCTCTCTTACCTGGATGAGCATCTTGCGCAGGAAGGGCATGACGAACGCAGGGTTCATACTGCTGAGGCGTCCGATGGTGCAGATCGCCAGCTCTCTGATTTCAAACACCTCATCGTTCAGCGCAACGAACAGAGCCTGCAGGTTCTCCGCCTGGGCCAAGTGAGCGTCAAAACGCTCATCGAGGGAGGCAAGCACACAATATCGAATGTCTGGATCTTTGGGAGAACACAGAGGGAAGAAAGAAAATAAATATTCTGACTTCACCATTCTTATTACCATTATATGCAACATGTCTTATAACTAAATGCCTTTTTTTGTAAGAGTATGATGGATCAAAAATAAATTTCAAAATAAAACAGACATTTCAAAATGAAACAATGCTCAATAAAGTATGGTGTTTCTTCCCTTTTCCTCCAATTTTAACAAAACACTTTATTTATTCCAGTGGGAAATTTGGTTTTCTGACACAAGATTAAAAAGAAAAAATAAATACAAAAATAAAACTTGATAAAGATATTTTTATAACATACTAAGTAAAAATAAGAAAGTGCAATCAAATATACATTTAAATAAACAAAAATAGTATGGTTATATAAACAAAAAAATATATATAATTAAAATATTTGTATTTACATTTAAGTAAATTATCATTACATGTTTTGATTAGACTTTTATGGTTTACCTGGGTCAGTGATGCCAACAACTAGCAGCTTGCTGAGCACATCTGCCACCACCTGCACGGCAGTCTGGCTGACAACATGGCCGCTGATCAGGTGGATGGAGGGGGTGAGGAGGCGGGAGCAGGTCCGAGCTGCCTCCATTCGGATTTCCTTGTGTTCGCTGTTCAGGAAATGATCGGCACAGTGACGCACAAACTGGGTGAGTGAGTGTCCTGGGGGAAGAACAAAAAAAGGCTTATCCCTGAACTGGTAGATGTGGCATGCAACTACATTTTAGACTTACATTTATTTAGGGCAGCAATGCAGATAATTATATTGACTATGTTAGGTATTTTTTCCATTTTAAATGCATGTAAAAAGTATCCATTACAATAGAGTGGAGCAGTGATATAAGTTAGCAGTGAAGTTAAAAGCCGATGGGATTTTGAAATATTCAGGAAAATAAGCTCTGTTGCAGACCAAATGTATGTTACTTACAGGTTTGTTAAGCAAGATAATCTCAAAATATTAACACCACTTTTATAATAGGGACATTTTAACACAGTTGGCAGAAATAAAAAGCTAACGTTAGGCTACAAACAAACTATATCCCGGTTGCATGACTACGTCAGCACCACTAAGCTAAAGGCAGCTAATGTTCAGCTTGATGGCGTTTAGTAGCCTCATCTAGGGACCAGTTTTTTTTTTTTTTTTTATCAATCCCACCTCACCGTCTACTACAGGCTATCAACTCAAAGACTGGGCAGTTATTATTTCTCTGCAGTTTTCTGCATGATTAAGTGTTATGTCTCGAGCCCTAATTCCAGACAAAATCCACTCAAGCCATTTCTGCAGATCACTTACTTTCTTACAGACTGTGTGTTCAATTTAAAAACACTTGTCCAACTTCACTGAATGCGTAGAGAGCAGCAACTCGAGGTATTTCTTTCCATGCTTCGTGATTTTAGGGCTTTAATGCTCCCATTTAAAATAAATGTCCTTTAGAGGTTCTTGCCTTCAAACTCAAAGCTTCCCAGTGTGCGCAGGGCCAGGGTGATGCTGCCTACATCGCTGGCCTCTGGGATGTTGGTGAGGCTGGGTGAGGCCAGCTGGTGAGCCAGGCCTTTGGGCATGCCGGGGTGACGCAGAGGTTTGTGCATCAGCACCAGGGAGAGCATCTTCAGCAGGCCGTCCTGGATGTCCTTCTTCAGTTGCGGGATCTGACGGCTTAGGTCGTACAGCACTGCCGTCAGCGCAGGACTACACGAATAGGAAAGAAATGGACAAAAAAAACAATCGTTGCCATCTTTCGAATAAGATGAAGACGTGTGTTGTGTATCAAAACATGTAACTTAAAACCTATCCATAGAAGTCAAACTCTGGATCTACTTGAATAAATCCAGTACAAAATCCAATTCAGGCTATTTACTGGAATCATTCCCCATAGTAGTGAAACCCAGTGGTGTAATGTAACTAAGTGCATTTACTCTATAAGTACTATAATGTTAGTATAATAATGAGATAATTGTACTTTGCTTGAGTATTTTCCAATGACTTCTAATTTACTACATCTCAGAGAACAATATTGTACTATTTTACCGCACTATATTTATTTGAAGTTTATTTTCACATAAATGACCTGATACACCTGGATTATAGATTTATATATAAATATATGAATCATCTACTCAGTATTCAAACATTTGCTCCACATTGACAAATTACATAATTTATCATTAAAAAGAGACTAATGTAATATATTCTATAATAATACCACTTTTAAAAGAGCAATTCTGCATAATGCTACTTTTTTTTTTTTAAATGTTGCCGTTAATGCTTCCCTAAGTTTACTAAAGAAACATTTTGAACTTGTTTTTTTAACATTTAATGGAGTATTTTGAGACTGTGGTATTGCTACTTTAACTCAAGTGAAGGATCTGACTACTTTCCCACCACTGGTGAAGTCATTCTGTCCTACCTGAGGCCCACAGCCAGCATGGGCTCCAGCAGCTCCTTGATGTCTGGTTGGATGCTTGGACCCATGGCTCTGGACAGCATGCTGATACAAGTGAACACTGTGGCGTCCACCTGCATGGTCTTCTGTCTCCTGCAGACAAGAAAGACAGTGAAAGTAAAAAAAAAAGTGTACATAGTTTAGGTTATCGAGAGACTAGAAATAACCAACGTCCTGTATTTAATTACTGACTTGTGTGCAAAGTCCTTAAGTGGCAGGGCAGCCTTGATAATCTCGAGGATCTTGGGGAGGTACGGCTGGATTTCTGTTCTGACGGCCACCACCAGCAGCCCCAGAGCCTGGAAAGCTGCCGTCCTCTCCTTCTCCTTCTTCAGACAGCCCAGCAGGTAGCTCATAGTGTCCGACAGGTACTGGTCTGCACAGGGGATGGAAGAAACACAAAGGGAAATGGTTAGACACAGAGTTGGAAAGGAAGTAACACATACATCACCTGACTAGGAGTAAGTCATTTATTGTCCATACCTAACAAAAAGCCTAGTGGGCACTAGGGGTGCAACAACTAATCGACTTAATCAATTAAAATCGATGACCAAATTAGCTGCCAACTAATTCAGTCGTCGATTCGTTGGTGACGTCATCACGTGTGTTTTACGCACCGTTAAGCTCCAACGTTATCAGTCTTTTTATCGGTACTGGAGACATTTAAAAAATATGTCATATGTATTATTGCTACATAAACATTATATCGCAG